TTTATATGATATATTTATTTTGGCACGATATTCTCAAATTTAATTGTTCACTCTGTGACACCGCTTATAAACTTAGAGCAATCCAAATTAAACTTGAGCACATTGCCAAAGTTTCAAAGTTAAACTTAATTCATGAGTTTGCACTATGGAGGATTATTATTTGATCTGAATAGTTTCTAATTCATAATCTTTTTTTAAAGTTCATTTTGTTTCGTTAATGATAAAATTTTAATGGGGAAATTGCAGGCCCACACACATGATTGTCATGCTTACTTGGCCCAACTTTCGATCACTATAATTAAGGCCCATACAGTCCCATTCCGACTTCATTAAAGGGCCCATCCCAACTTCATTACAGTCTTGGACTTTTGGTTTCTATGCAAACTGGAAAATAATAATCATAAATAGCCAGATTTACAATTGGTAATTGAAAAATAGCTATAACTTATAAAAATTTAGCCACTTTTTTTTTATGTAAAGGTAAAATTTAACAGAAACTCTCTTAAAATTCAGAAAAAATTCCAGCATAATATGCTGGAGTTCGAATTCTTTACATATGAGATTCCAGCATAATGTGATGGAATTTCATAATATGCTGGAATTCCAATATAATATGCTGGAGGTTTACACGTAGGACCACTATAGTGCAGTATATTATGCTGGAACTTTCCATGTGTTGGAGTTCCAACATAATATGTTGGAAGTTTATACGTAGGAGCTCCATAATCTAGTATATTATGCCGTGTTTCAGCAAAACAGTGACTATTTTTTAATGACTTTGCAAGCTAGCTATTTTTTAACTATCAATCCGAAAACTGGCTAGCCCGTGCTATTTTCACATGCAAACATTTTCACGTGCTATTTTCAAATTCTCTCTCTCTCTCACTCTCTCTCTCTCTATATATATATATCCTAAATGGGCTGAACTAAGCACCTGTTTTGGACAAACCCAAGTCCAATCTGGAATGGGCTGAACTTCCACTCACCTAACCATAAAAGCCCAGCCCCAGCCCAACAATGTTTTCTTTTTATAAATGTAACCTCCAGTAGAGGGTTTTTAAGGAAATTTTACCTCCTATAGTAAAGGTTGATACCTTATTTATTATAAATAAATACCCTTTTAAAAAATTATCTCCTATTGCTACCTTTTAATTTTTATAGCAAAATATCTATTTATAGTCACTTCCTACTTTTAAGCCAATAAATACGTTGTGTATTATTTTTTTTCCCCTCTCTCTTCCCTCTCTCCTCCAATTTCTCTTTCCACTATCTTCTCTTTTTCCCTAGTTTCATCGATTAAGCTTACGCAGAGATAAACAAACTCTAAACTTTGTCTTATCACGTCAATACCATCGTATTCCTTCTTCTGCTTGTTAGCCTAATTTCCTAGCATTTGGTAGGAAGTTTTTGTGGTAAATTCTTGTTCAATTCTTGTCCAACTCTGTACTATTTTCACAATTTTTGATATTGTGAAAATCAGACGCTGCTGATCTGGGGGAATCCCTTCCTTATCTTGGATCTTGGCTTTCACATTGTCGATTGTGTCGGTAGATTCAACCTCAAGGGTGATTGTTTTACCCTCGAGCAAATTAAAGATTCTGTTACCTTTTTTTTTAAGTGTATTTTCAATGTATCTCGCTGTATTTTCATGTATTTCATTGTATTCGCTGTTTTTTTTTAATTTTTTTTTAGTGTATCTCGTTGTATTCCATGTATTTCATTGTATTCACTGTCTCGCTATATTCCATGAATGTATTCATATATTTTTTTAATTAATATAATTTATGTATTCAGATGTATCATATAATTTCTCTGAAGATTGCTATGTTTTGGTGTTTTTCGGTTGAGAATCTTTTTTATAACTGAAAATACAAAATTTGTGTGTTATAATTGAGTTTGTTGAGTTATATTAGGAGTCTATTATGTTAACTGATTCACTTTCCGTTTAAAAACAGTGTAATCCCCTGTTTCACGCCGCGAATACAGTCGAATACAATAATCTGTCAAGCTGTAATCCCATATTTCACGCCATGAATACAGTCGAATACGCTCGAATACGAAAATCTGTCTAGTTGTAATCCCCTGTTTCATGTCTAGAAATGCTATTGTATTCATAAATACAGTAGCTTAAATACATCGGATACACTTTAAAAAATCTGAAAACATAGCTATAGGAGGTAATATAGTAAATGGTAGCTACGACTAGCTAATAACCACTAAAACATAGTGGTTTCCGAAAGTTTCTCTTAAATGCTTCGGGAAAGTAAATTTTGTTCCTAATTTTTTGAGTCAATTTTTGCTTTTCTAGAAGTTAACCCACTTTTGACTCTTTCTTTCACAAATTCGCCTTCAAATGCCATTACATTTTTGCTTATCATTTTCGTTTAAAGTGGTAGACAAATTCTCCATTTGATTATTAGCAAAAGGACCCTTTTTCTAGAACCCAATCTTGGATCATGGCCAGAGAATACAATGGCTGATCATGTGGAACCAAAGAGCCGGTTTGGATTGACTTACTTTAAGTGGTTTTAAGTTAAAATACTTTTAAGTCTTATTTGTTAAAAATTATTTTGACTTAAAAATTACTTAAAATAAGCCCATCCAAACGGGCTCAAATGCCCAGCACCCAATACCACAACATGGGTTAGTCTCCCCCATGAGATTGAATATTTAATTTGTGAGTTGTGACGTATTGAAAATAAATTAGATCATGAGACTAATGTTAACCATTTCAAGTCAACAAAAGCAAAAATAATTTCTTTAAATATGTTTAAGCTTTGGTAAACAAAGTCATATAATACTCGTACTTTAGGAGAAAGTGAAAAATAGGTGTAAAAACAGTAATAGACACATGATTAAGGAGGTGTATTTCTTTTACCAAGAACAAGTTTAGGAGGACAAAAGAAAATGGAGTCAACTTCACTTTGACCGTAGGTTAAATTTGACCAGAGTAAGGCGATTCTTGATCAAACTTGATGTAGGAAATAATTATTTAAAAATAGGAACAAAATTATTATAGATAAATCCAAGTTAGGATGAAATATTTCTATGTTTAATCTGAGATCTCGAATTCAAAATGAAAGAATAAAAAAATTTCTGATAAAGAGCTTGGCGACTTTCCCTTTTAAAGATCCTACCTACCCAACCTGTATCCAAATTAATCAAGGGTCATCAAATTCAATATTGGATGGTTAAGGAAAAACAAGATACAATATACTTTCTCAGTCCCATTTTAACCGTCGCTTTAGCTCAAAAGAATTATTACTTTTAGGAATTCAAAATTAAATTTGTTAATTATTTTAAACTATACCCTTAATATTAAAGAAATACTGCATCCGTTCCAATTTATGTCAACCTGTTTGGCTGAGCACGAATTTTAAGAAAAAAATGAAGACTTTTGGAATTTATGGTCCTAAACAAGTCAAAAGGGGGTTCAGAGTATTTGTGTGGCTATAAAAGCTTCTCATTAAGGGTAGAATTGTAAGTTTAAGCTAAATTATTTCCAAATTTAGAAAGGAGTCATTCTTTTTGGAACGGGCCAAAAAGGAATAAGTTCGCACAAACTGGAACAGAGAGAGTATTTCTTTTAATAATGCTCAAAGTATTTAATAGAAATTACTTAGTAACTATATTTTATATTTATTATTTTTTTAATGAACGTAAAAAGAGCTAAAATAATTAAAATGGGACGGGGGAATAATATTATGGAAAACATAGTAGGACAATTTGAAATTCCCAATAATCTATATTATATTAAAAGCACAAAGGTCCTTAGCGAAATATCGTTCGCCTTTTTTACTATTTAAATTAATTTTACATAGGACAAAATTATAATTTATGTAACCTTCCTAATATCAACTAAATTTATAATTAAGTCCTTCCTTATATATAAGATATTTTAAACTTTATATAAATCTTCAACTATAATACTTTCTCGAAGCGTCATAACAAGAAGAAAGTAGTAAAAACATGAGGATAAACTATTTTGAGAAAAAAACAAAGACTATTACAAACCAACTCAAGAAACAGTATTCAACGGCAGCAAAGCAAATTTCTTATTACTCTAACTTCACCAAGGTCAGAAGAAGTACTACCTGCCTTTTTCCGTAGGTATTTAGCATAGTTAAAATTAATTAAGATTTTAATTACTTTATACAAATAATTTTATTATTTGAATAACTTAACATAATTGTAAATCTTTTCATGCGTTAAGAGTCAAATTCATAAAAATATAAACTTGAAGCAATAAGGATACAATAGTATAAGACAACACATATTCGAAATGAGTTGTTACTAATTAGTTTTTTTTTCCTAAGCGTTCATTCCAACAATTGATAGCTTTTTACGTTCTTTTTCATATTAAGTTATTTGTTGCAAAATACTAACTTAACGTTAGTCATTTTTAGACTAAAACATTGTCAGTTGTCAATTTATTTTCTATGAGAAATAGGGCCAACCTCTTTATTCTCAAATCTCTAAAAGAATAAAAGATTTAATTTTTGAGTTTGTGTTTGTTGATAAATCATTGAATTATTATAATAATGTATTTTTGTGATAGTTATTAATTTTTAGTAGTAGGTCACAGGAAAACCCACAATTTTTATAAGATATTCCCATAGAAATTCTTAGAAATCAATAGTGCATATGAGGATTTTTGTGGAACATAATTTCTCCTTTTGTTGAGTTAGTTGAAGGATCATTATTCATTATTTTCAAAACATTATACTTTTTAACTTTTTATTATAACTCAAATATATTATTTAATAATATATAATTTTCTAGAAGTATATATTCATTGATACAGGTACACGTGCAAAGCGCTTACGCTAAAACTAGTAACATTAAAAAAACGTGAAGTTGAAGATTTTATATACGAGTATATACAACTTTTTTCTGATATATCAACTAATACTACTATTTAATTAATTAATTGAATCTAATGGATAAGGTTCAAGCTTTACACAGATCCACAGGATTGAAATACCCACCCACCGAAACAGACTAATCATCAACCGTTAACCAATCAGCTTAGGACAAGCGCCCTACAAATTTGGCTCCGCCCCATTCACACCAGAAAAATTCCCCAAATTCAAAAATCGATCTCCTATTTCTCGAAAAATCGCTCATTTTACCGAATATTCGAATTTTCGGTTCCTAATATTACAATCCCTGATATAAAAATAAGCAAAGTTTCGATAACTCTTTTTGATTTAGCTCCCAATTCTCCTTCTAAAATATCTCCATTGTTGAAAAAGGTATGTTTTCCTTTTTTACTATTTAAATTTCAGTTTCTGTTTCTATTTTCAGTTTTATTTTGCTTATTATAAGTCAAAGTCTGTGGATCTGTGGTTTTAATTGCTGGTTTTCGCTATTTCTATGTTTTACATTTTTCATGAACATTTTTAATGTTGTATTAATTCATAGAATATCTTTGGACGAAATTAAAGTTTGGTTAGCTCTTGTGTGAATTTAATGCAAGCAAAAGTTCCTAGATTTTTTGGAGATACAGTGCAGCATATAAATTATCATGCAAATGGATTATGTAACTATTGGAATACTTGTATGTTGGTCATTTAAGGAGACTCAGAAGAATTTATTGTGTCTTTAAAAGGTCTATTACTAGGGCATATTTTGTTTGGATTCTGATCGATTTTCTAGTCATTTATATCAGTGAATTTTAGATTGCTTATTAAAATATACTAATCATTTTCACTATAACCAATATCTGTTAAAAGTGAATATTTATGCACTACTATGTTGCTCGGATCCTCCAAAACTGTCGCTGTACCGATGTCGGATCCTCAAAAAATGTATAACTTTTGGAGTATTCGATACGCACTAGCCGGCATTTTTGAACGACTCGAGCAACATAGCGGCACTAACTAAACATTGATTCTTTAAGAGGTGATTTTTTATTTATTAAAAAGCTGATTAAATAGGTAAAATAATCAAAACTAGAGTGCACTCAAGGGTTTGGCCCAGTGGTCAATGAAGGGGGAGGAGAACCATGAGGTCTCAGGCATAAATCCCAACGGAGGCAAAAAAACACTAGGTGATTTTTTCCATCTGCGTAAGTCTTGCTGGACACAGCTACCGGGTACCTGTGCTGGCGGGAGGTAGCAGGTACCCAATGGAATAATGGAGGTGCCTATACACCACCAACATAAAAATATAAAAAAAATAATCAGAACCAGAGTGGCCCTTCTAGTCGTGTTTAAAGACGAGTTTCTAGTAATATCTTTGGTAAAATTTGGTGAGCTTCGTTCAAGCACCAAATTTATGATCCTCACCTTCTGAATTGGGAGAATCATGTTTATTGACAAAAGACTATATTAATTTGCTATGAATGTGGTAAATCTGCGGTGTTCCACTTATTACGTTTAACTTGGGAAAAATTAGTTGTTATACTTAAACTATGGAAGGAGGTAACTTAATTTCTTGTTGGAGTCTGATGTATTTTTATTTGGACGCGGTAATTTATTGTCTTGAACTTCTGTTTTGTGGTAGGAGTGGGACCTCTAATATCATTGTTGTGGCAAAACTTCTGCGTCATTATCAATCATGAAGTACCTGGAATACACCCCTCTTGATCGGTAACGTTTGACATATAATGACATTTACATAAGTACTGAAGATTTTTAGTTGGTTGCTTGCAGTGAATTATTTTATTTACATTTACAGGATAAATGATTTTCTGAGTCATGTGAATCTTGGAGAGCGAACCATTAAAGGATGTCTCGAAGCGTACTCTTGTAAGTGTTTTTAATGACTTCCAAGTGTAGTGTCCTTGTATCTGGACAATCTCGTGATGTAAAGTATACTTTGCCTATTGTTTTTAGGTAAACATACTGGAACAGATAAGAAACTTTCGCTTAGTTTGGAGAATGAGGTAATTTCAATTGATGAAACTCGTCTTAACTTTGTTTGTTTACTCTTCAGTGAGGCTCGGTGCAATCCTGGCGCAACACTTCATATGTTTACTATTTTGCAACACCCTATTATGGAAACTTTTTTGGCATTAAGGGCTGATTGGTGAAAGAAAATTATACAATTTTGTTAACTTCATTAAAAGATTAAAAATAAAAAAGGAATCCATGTATTTAAGTAAGTATAAAATAGAAGGCCTCTTTTAATTTTCGCTGATGAGGTAATTGCTTGTATGAACATGCTCTGGATTGAGTACATCTAGAATAAAAAGGACATGGGCTCCTATTCAATAACCTCTGCAGATCCTGAAAAAATCACGGGGAACTTACAGAGTTCAATCTGTATATACCAATTTTTGTGTTATTTATCAAGGCCAATCTACAATAGATGTGCTGGTGCTCTGCTTTGGATAGTAACAAGCTTTGACTGGGAACTCCCTTTCCCATTCAGCTCTACTTTAGTTTGTCTCCTCTGGGGTTTTGTGCTTGTTCCAGTTTAAGTGGCAACTCTATTAAGATGTTTAGCTGCCAATCCTGCTAATACCTTCTGAACATAATACTCCATGAGTTCCCAGTTTTGCAGTAATCTATGCATGCGTTAGGGTGCATCACAAGTTGGAATTGTTCTTGGAATTCTTCCTTTAAGGTATATTTGTCTTCTTTAAGGAATTATTTCAATCCATTTGTTGTGCCAGAGGCTAATGTATTCTTCACCTCCTTCATCAAAGTAGGTGTGGGAGCTGAATTATTCCCAATATATGTGCTTCCAGGGTGTGACCCCACGTAGACTGTTGTCACCTTTGTGCACCAGTGATTCTGCTCTCCAAATTTAGCAAGTTCTAACCCTTTTCCTGAGTCCCATTACCATTGTTAAATCTTCACAGCCATTTCATTAGTGAACTCTTGTTATGAGCTGTCAGATTTCTTACTCCAGGGCCTCCATTTTTCTTTGGCAACACAAATCTGTCCCATTTCTGTTACTTGTTTTTCCCTTCCTCGGGTCATTGCTTGGTGTTCTCACAAGGATTTGTAAGGCTAATTTTCTTTCCTCCTTTTTGGAGGGGGGGGGGGGGGGGATTACACATCGTCAAGAGGGTTTAGGTCCATATGTGTCGCTTGCATGATTTGATTATAAATGCTTGTTTTCAATAATGGTGGCATCCGGGCCAGCTTACATGCTCCTCGATTATTCCAAATGGGAAGAAATCACCTTGTGCTTTTGACTATAAATGCTTCTTATCCTGGTCTCTACTCTTCTGTCCTGCTTAATTGGCAGTCCAACCTTTGACTTAGAGAATAGAAGAGCTTTAACACATGAAGAATTATATTGTGCTTATCTTGATGTTCGCATTCTTATATTTTCTTTCTCAGTCAGACAGATAAAGAAAGTTACACCTTCCTCCCAATATGTAGCCATCATAGTAGGAAGCAAGAAAAACTAAATCTCACTATTTTCAATCATGGGAAGGCTTTTTTGTGCTCATTATTGTATATTTATACTTTTATATTCTGCACCCTCCCTCATGTTACTGAAGCTTCATTTATTTCTTTTAACTTCAGTTGTTTATGACAGTACTCAGGAAGTTGTTGGTCCGATTTTCTTCTTGTTGTGTTGTTACTAGTAGCTAATAGGGTTTCTTCTTTTGCGGGATTATAAAGTAACTTTTGGTTGCAGATTTTTGATTATCTTGGAAGATCTTCGGACACCGATTCTTCTTCACCTGTTGAATATCTAAGCTGCAGATCGAGGTGGTGAATCCAGACCTACGGCTGGAGTATTATATCTGAAACAAGTGTATTTTGGTTCATAATGTAATTTTTTTCTGCATTTTTGTTCCAGTCGGAAAACATTGATATATCTACTCCTTACTCTCTATCACATGTATCCAGATTATGACTTCAGGTAAGTCTCTAACTTATGTTGAAAATATTTTCTTAATATTTTGTGCTTGTTAAAGTGAAGAATAATCCTCTTGTATTTGTAATAGCTGACTGGGTGGATTATGGGTAATGCCACTGTCAGCTTCTTTGGCGACGTGGCATCCCGCTTTATAATCCTCTCTTACAGCTTTGGGAGTGTTGTCAGATGGTTTGACAGACAGTTTAGATTACTGTTGCTCTTTAAGGAGCTGAGAGTTCAAGTCTCTCCATTTCCCAATGCAATACTCCAGTTGTCTTGTTTGTACTCTGCCAATGCGTGTATATTCACTTTATCCCTGTTTTGCTATGACTTGCCAACTTTCTGGTTTACCAGAGCAGTGAAAGCTCACCAGTTTTTCACTGAAGAGAGCTGGGACAGTTTTAAGCAGATATTTGACATCTACATGTTTGAGGCTTCAAAGGTATATGCCGGGAAGATATTGCCAATTGCCTTGGTTGTCATGTTGCACTTTAATAGGAAATCATCTTCCCTTGGGTCTCACTTGATTAGCATTCTTATGAGTAAATTGCATAGAATTGGAGGTCAGATAGCTAATCAAACAAGGTTGTTGTTTGGATCTATGCCCTTAATAGACCAAAATCAGATTAATTGTGTTTTTTCCTGAATAGAATTAGACACCTTCAGTTCTTTTTGATGTTCTATAATAGCATCTGTGGAGCAATTAGATGATTAGGCTATTTTATCTTTTCCTTGTTTTCTGGGTAGGGTAGTGAGTGCATTATACGCCGTAATGGAGATGGTGTTGCACCATATTCATTTTAAGGCTTAGCAAGTTATCAAAAAAGAGAACTTTGAGCTTTTTGTTTAGGCATCCTATGGTTTGGGTTGCAGGAGTGGCTTGATGCGAATGAAGGCAGTCCTCTGCTTGAAACTCTGTACAAGGCTTTAGACGAGGTGAGATATTTTATTAACATAAAGAGAGGACCAAGAGAGAGCGTGGTCAAGTTGCTTAGCTTATTAGCACTGCAGGTTGTGAAAGTTGCTGAATGTGAGATCTACACTTACAATCCAGAGGCAGATGCAGATCCATTTCTTGAGAGAGGAGCCATGTAAGGTTTTTATATGAATTGATCCCCTTTGTTACCCAATCCTTTTTAAGCCGTGTTAACTTTCTGTGCGAGTTTCTATTCTTTGACTTATCATCTAAACTATCTGATTGAGGTCCTCTCTGGCCCCTCAGACAGCTAGATGGGCAAACAAGGCAGATGTCACTTTGAGTAGTATGTTAATATCTTGGTGGGATAGTGTAACCTTCTAGATGGTATTAAAAGAGTGACAGGATTCCATTTGCTGGTCAAATTTCTTTTTTTAAAATTGTAGTGCATTAATACAAGTGTGTCTCTTTTCCAGATGGTCCTACCACTTCTTCTTCTACAATAGAAAGTTGAAACGTGTTGTGAGTTTCCGCTTCAGCTGTGTGAGGTGATTATTTTACCCTTCTATGGTTTCGGGATGCCATATTCTACTTTTCGGCCTGATTAACTGCTGTTTGTTGCAGTAACTTGGTTGGTGAAGGATGTTTGTTGGACAGCTCAAGTTTTGAGGATGACGGAGAGATATTCGATGGCATGGACATGTGAATATAACATTTTGTTCATGGCACGTTGTTGATGTCGTATAGGCTTAAATCTTGTATGAAAATCAGTTTGTACAATTGACAGTAGGTACTGAAACATAAATAAGCATCATCCTTGTCTAGTTCGGAGGTTGAGGTAGCAATTCTCGCTGCTTCCTGATTTGTCTTATAATTTCTGTTAGTATGTCATGAAGATTTGTAAAGTTGTGCTTGGCAATAATGTTGCTTCCTCGTCTGGTCTGCTTGTAGTAGTTCTTTTTGTTATTTGAATTCAATTCTCTTTCTATGTTCCACAGCCTTTGTAACATGCTTTTGTGGTCTTTCAAGGCCCTATCTCCTTATATGGTCTTGGCATTTTCATCTCTTGAGCTAGCGTTGAGGTTGAGTTAAACTCAAGATCCGTTATACTCGTTCCCTATTTTTAGTTTATCCAGTATTGGGTTTTCTATGTTGTATTGTCTACGGTCTGGATGTCCCAACAACCGGGAATATGTTATCTCCATGTATGGTTTTGGGATGATCTTCACTTCATGTGTAATTTCTATGGTTATGTCCAGGTCTATTATTCTTTTACAGGAACATTGTGCTATTTATAAAAGGAAGTCCATTAGTGTGTTCATATACTATCATTCTCATTCGTTAGTTAATTGGTGGTCTTCCTTTTGACAAATTAAGCTCTTTCAAAAGTGTTATTGCCATTTGGTTATTCAGAAATATAACAAAATATGCTGTGAATCTGAAAGAACGGTGTGGCTTTTGTTCTGTTACTCGACCTGATTCTTCTTTGCTTTTCACTAAAAAATTAAAACCGTGAATTTCTTTTTGGTCATTTTAGAGATAATTATTTGTCCATTATACTTGTCGAGACACCAGGAATTAGTATATATGGAAGAAAGATGCCATATGCTATTAAATATGTTCCACGTGACATTTAATTTAATTAAGGTATGTTTGAGGAAAAAGAAAGATTAGGACAAGTGTTCTCTTATTCTATTGTTTGACCAAACCAATAACTTAATTTGCATTTGCATGAGCATGGACACTAGATAATGAGCTACTGGTCTATACCATCAAATGTTATTTGGCATTGATCCTTAACTAGGTGTTTCGATTCGAACCCTGAGAACGAAATTACACGATACCTTTAGCAAGAGTTAGTTATCCTTAAAGTGGACTTTTTAGCGCGAATCCGAATTCCTGAAGCTGATAGCAAACACCGAGTGAAAAAGGAAAAAGAAAAAGGTATGTGTGTATTAACCCCATCCTCTCATCTCTCCCCTGGCCAATCCCATGGCAAAAGACAAGAATAACAATAAAAGAATGAAAAAACAGAACTACTGATGTGGTGCACCGGATGGGGCTGCTCCTCCCTTATCTAGAGGTTTTGGGTTCAAGCCTTGGGTATGGAAAAATCTTTGGTAGGGAGCGCTTCCTCACCGAAAGGGGCTCTACCCAGCGCCAATCCAAATATAGTCGGGTTCCAATGCGTACCGGACAGCGGGTGGGAAACCAAAAATAACAATGGCTAACATATGAAAAGTAGATAAGATGGACAATACTTCGAGCATTGAAGTTCAAAATTATTCAAACATAAATAAACTTAAAAGCTAATATAAGGCTAGTTTAAAAATTTAAACCAACCTCAGAAAGTTTAAGTATGTTAATGCAACGAGAATCTTGAAATAGTTGCATCTCCAAACCAATATAATAGGATTATGCTTAATTTTTAAGATTAGACAGATTGTTCTTTTCCCACTTCCCAAATATATACTTATATATAGAAGCAGATAAATTACTCTTTATTTCCAATAGTAGCGGAGCATTAGATGCCAAAAATTGATGCTTAATTTTCTGTGTATCTACTTTTTAAAATGCTCAGATTTTTTTTTTTTTTTTTTTTTTTTTTTTTTTTTTTTTTTTTTTTTTTTTAACTCTAGGGCTTTCATCTAGTAGTAAGAACGCAACGTGGGCAGAGGCGGAGCCACAATTTGAAGTTTACGNTACTTTACTTTACCAAGTAGTAGCGGAGACTATTAGATCGAACTAAAATTGATGTACTTTATTTCTGTGTATTCTTAACTTTTAAATGTCTCAGTTTTAGTTTTTTTTTTTTGTTTTTTTTTTTTTGTTTTTTTTTTTTTTTTTTAACTCTAGGGCTTTCATCTAGTAGTAAGAACGCAACGTGGGCAGAGGCGGAGCCACAATTTGAAGTTTACGGGTTAATGATTCTAGTTCTTTTAAGTTACTGGGTTAACTTAATTTGTGCATATTCAATAAATTTCTTATGACAAATATAAGGTTTGTACCAAAGCTACTGGGTTCGATCGAACCCGTAGCCGAAGGGCTGGTTTCGCCTCAGAACGTGAGATATGTGAGTTAGGCACACGTCACAGGTTCGAACCTTCTTGTAGACAAAAACCTGGTATTTAAACAGATAAAGGTGGAGGGAAAGTCCGTATCCACTGAGTCTCGAACTATACGCTACTAATCTTTGAAAATTTCTCGATTATAAAAAAAGCTCACATTAAAATACTAGTTTTTATGTTCTTCTAAGAGTCAAATTCATTACTAAAATGGAGAATGAAAATATGAAACTTGTGAGGAATTTGTGTGGTCGTTATAAGCTAATGAAGCATTGAATAATAACTAATAAAGTAATATATTCCCAATCTGCTACATATAGGAATGTTTCAATTAAAAAGTAGTACGTAGAAAACATCTAAATATATTTATAAAATTAGACATATTTTCATAAAAACAATGATGTGATATAAAAGAATTGATTTCATATTCCTTTTGCTTCCTGGATGTTACTATATATATGTTGTAGCTCATTTATGCACTTAAATGTGGCCAAACCAAACAAGAAAAACTTAAGGAAATTTTGTATTATAGCCTTGTAATATTTCAACATATTGCTGAAAATGAATTGCCTTCAAAAATGGAAGACAGTTATTGCAATGATTATTGTTGAATTTGGTTTTGCTGCTGTAAATGCACTTTTCAAGAAAGTCCTCAATGGAGGAATGGACCAATTGGTGGCATCAACATATAGGCTTGCAGTTTCTGCTATTTTCATAGCCCCCTTAGCCTGGTTCTTCGAACGGTATGAGTTTAACTTCTATATACTGATTGAGTAAATTTATTTTATTCTATTAAGCCGTCTAAAAGACGATTATATATAATCGTTCATAATCAGTTTAACTTCTATACGTTGATAAGGTAGTTTTTATACTATGAGGTCATTTTAAAGATAATGACAAGTAACTGCCTAAAATATGCGGAACAATAACAACAACAACAACAACAACAACAACCCAGTAAATCCTACTACTGGGGTCTAGGGAGGGTAGTGTGTACGCATACCTTATCCCTACCCTGAAGGAGTAGAGAGGCTGTTTCCGAAACACTCTCGGCTCAAGAAAACAAAAAGACAAAAGAAGACAATATTAGTATCAACAAAGAAATCATATGAAAAACAGGAACAACATGAAATTCAGAAGAAAGATGCAAAGCAAGTTACTTTGAAAAATAAGGGAAGCAATCTGTTACAACAAGTTAAATTATACTGACTTTGTGAATAATTTTAACACTGTCAGTATATATATTACTGTTCAATCAGCGAAAAGTAAGTGGAGCTATTTAACATGAAAAATAAGATAGACAACTTGCTATTACATGTTAAATTATACCATTAGGGGTCGTCTGGTTGAAAATTATTCTGGGATTAGTTATTCCATCCTTTCATCGGGATAAAAAATACTACAATACCAGGATAACTAATCCCTGGATTAGTTATACCTCGATTTTATCCCAACCAAACATGGGATAAACTCATCTTAAATTTAATCTCGGAATTAGTTATCCCTTATCCCTTGTACCAAACGAGTCCTTAGTATAAATATTATTTGCGGTCAGGGACGGAGCTAGAGGCTGACATAGGGGTATGAACGGACCTAGTAGCTTTGGTCCAAACTCTAGATTTATATTAAGAAATGCATCAAATATGTATAAAAATTAAAATCAGAACCCAATTACTAGTAACATCTAATATTGTCAGTCTAGAATTTAGGATCGATAAAATTCAAATCCTGGCTTCGACTCTATATGCGATGTTAGTATATATAAGTTAATTGCTTAGAATATTTATTTCCCAAAGCAGCTAGAAGATTAACATCTATAGTTGTCTTGCAGAAATGTGACATCAAAATTAACGGCTCGCATTATCTGTTCTCTGTTTATCAGTGCACTGCTGGGGTGAGTTTTCCTGTTTATTTTATGATAAAGTTTCATATGTTATTTATTTCAATATATATATTTATGTTCTGCTCAAGTCAATCACAACAAACTCTGATTAAAGAGCTGTTTTAATTTCAGGGGCACACTCACTCAATATTTCTTCTTACTTGGCCTGGAATACACATCAACAACATTTAGCTGTGCTTTCCTCAATATGGTGCCTGTCATCACTTTCATTTTGGCCTTGTTACTTAGGTAAACATAAATTATCATATAAAAGTTATAGAACTAATTTTTGTAACAAAACGATAACTCAACTATGCCTATATAACACGCAAAAAGTATGAAGTGTCATGTAGGTAGAGTAAACATCAGCACTCGCCTTACATAATATTCATGGCTGGCACCATTTAAAATATAAAAACCTAATTTTCTACTCACTTAAAATAAAGCGACTTTTTTAAAGTGGTGTCACAAGGCATAGTTGATTAATTTTTTTTTGAAAAGTTACTTTTACGATTCTCGTAAAATGACTACTCGGTACACAACATATCCCGCATTCATGTAGGGTCCAAGAAGATCCGCACTCCAAGAGGTGTGATGTAGTCATCCTATCATAATGCAAGCATTAGTGGTTGTTTCCACAGCCAGTGGCGCAAGGGCAAAGCTATGTTGGCCCAAGGGTGGTCAACTGACCACACTTCGCCGAAAAATTACACTACGTATAAGGTAAAATATTACTTGTTATTGATTAAAAATAGACTTTGAACACCCTTGCATAGCCCACTGGCAAAGGGTGTTCAAAATTTAAACACCCTTATTGAATTGTCCACTGCAGTGGCGGAGCCACATGCACCCAAGGGGTGTCTGACACCCCTTCTTCGAAAAATTACACTGTTTAGCTCGGTATTTTTAAAAAAAAAATATGTATATATATACTATATAATGACACCCCTTGACTTCTAGTGAGTTTATTTCTTTATATTTTGACTCCCCTAAATCAAAATCCTTGCTCCACCGCTGTCCACAGCTCGAACCCGGGACCTATAGGTCACATCGAGGCAACTTTACCGTTGTTCCCAAACTTCTTTTCATTTTAGTGTGATAAACTAAAGTTGAATGATTGGTCTCGGAAACATCTTCTCTACTCCCTCGGGGTAGGGGTAAAGTCTGCGTACACACTACCCTCCCCAGACCCCACTTGTAGAATTTTACTGTGTCGTCGTCGTTGTTGTTATAAATTAAAGTTGAATGATCATATGTGAAATTAATCCGTGTTGCTTTCAAACTTAGGATATTTAATTTAAGACAGTAGAAGGAACCATGCCAAAAAGTTAGATTAGTAGCAAAAGAGGAGGCTTGGTTTATCTTATTATTGCAAGAAAAGTTGTGTCATACAATTACATACTTATGCCTATTTTTTAACCTATAAATTTTCACAGGCAAGAAACTATAAAACTAAAAAGCAGGAGTGGAAGAGCAAAGATATTAGGCATTCTATTCTGTCTTGGTGGAGCATTAATACTCACTTTGTACAAAGGAATTCCATTGATAAATCCATCAGCAGAATCAAGAATTGAAACAAATCACAGCAAAAAGAGTTGGTTTCTTGGTTCAATATTTTTATTTGCAGGTTGTTTTGTGTGGTCTGCTTGGTTTTTAGTACAAGCTAGAATTAGCAAAGATTATCCTTATCAATATTCAAGCACAGCAATTATGTCATTTTTTGGAGCTTTTCAGTCTGCAATATTGAGCTTTATTATTAGCAGAAATGTAACAAAATGGATACTCAAAGGTGGATTAGAGATCTTAAGTGTCATATTTGGTGTAAGTAACCTCCCTCTCATACCTGTGAATACATTACCTTCTCTTGAACGGTGTTTGGGTAAGCTTATAAGCGCTTTTTGACTTGTATGTATATATGGTAAATACTAAAAGTGTTTATAAGCCGAAATCAATAAAAAAACGGTGTTTTGGTCACCCCAATTTGTGATTGTTCAGCTTATAAACATTTTTGGTTTGACCGATATTTTTAAATTCTTTATCCCCCTTTTTTTTTTGTGCAATCATCGACATATCCTTCACAAACAAAACTCCAAACTCCTTTGTGCTATTTTCTCGTTCGTCATTTTCCATGTAAAATACTCTTAAATTTATATTTATTGCAAACAACTTAGCACTTTTCACCAATCACGTCGATTGCTCATAATTAGTTTCAAGAACTTCTATTCTAATACGCAACTGCTTATTTATAAAATTAGTTTCAACACTTCTATCCAAACACGTGACTGCTTATTTATAAAATTAGTTTCAGCACTTAGTGCTTATCAACTGCTTTGAATCAGCTAAGCCAAACGTCTCGCTCTATTCTTTTCCCTACCAAATAATTTTAATATATTTTCCTATAAATGTATGTAGGGAATGGTGGGATCAGGTTTGTGCTATGTTGTAATGTCATGGTGTGTAAAGCAAAAGGGTGCAGTTTTCACCTCAGCATTCAGTCCCCTTATTCAGATTTTTGCTGCTGTTTTTGACATCTCCATACTTCATGCTCAAATTCACTTGGGAAGGTTAGATCTTATTCTTTGTTATAATACCATATTTTATTAAAATATAATTTTAAAGATGGACAAAAAGACATTAATTTGGTAAAATGTACATGTTTTCAGGGGCGGATGCATAGCATATATTATGAGTTCATCCAAATAACATAGCTAGATTTGATTCAAATCTTGTATATAAATTAAGGACTCATTGATAAGTACAAATAATAAATTTGTAAGCCCAATATATCAAATAGGTTGGTCAAAATAGCACGGTATAGCCAGTTTTCGGACTGGTCATTCAAAAATAGCCAGCGTTTACCAAGTCAATGAAAAATAGCCACTATTTGCTGCAACAGAGACCGGTCCAGCATAATATACTGGAGTTCGGTGCACCTGTGTATGAACTCCAACATATTATGCTGGACCGGTATACTTTGCTGGCTCCAGTATAATATACTGGAGACTGGAGCACCGGTGCTCCAAACTCCAGTATATTATGCTGGACCGGTATACTTGTTGGAACTCCAGTATATTATGCTGGAGTTCTAGTGTACTTATGCTGGAACTCCATCATATTATGCTGGAGTTCCAGCATATTATACTGGAGTTCAGCATATTATCCTGGAACTCCAGTATAATATGCTGGAGTTCAAGTATACTTATGCTGGAACTCCAGCATAATATACTGGTGTGTTTTTCGGGTTTTGAACAGTGTTTCCGCTCAGATTTATCTTTACATGAAAAGTGGCTAAAAAAGTCAATAGCATTCAATATATATATATGCAGTATAATTTTCTGGGCGAGTGCTCTGCCCATGTCTTCAGGAACAAACTTTAAGCTTTCAAGATTTCTCAACCTATTTATTATTGTTACTTAACTATGCTATTTTTTTCTTTAACAGCATATTGGGATCCATTTTGGTTATTATTGGCTTGTATTTTCTTCTATGGGGTAAAAGCAAAGAAGCTGAGATTTACAAGAATTCTCCAGCAATAGAAAAGAATGGACAGTCTGCTCTACCAATTACTGCAAGTCCAACTCATATTTAAAAAATTCACATGCAACTGAAGTTCAATTATCTGATGCACCAGTTAATGTTAATTATAATTCCAAAAGTGACCATCTTGTTTGATGTCCCTGAAATATTATTGAAGATCATTGGAATTTTTTTTCTAGTCCAAGTAAATATATAACCCTTTGCTAGTTTCAATACAAATTTGAGATTTTCTGGTGCAAACTTTTTAAGACAATTGTTGTTGTGTCCTCTCCCACTAATTAATTAAATAGAAATATGCTCTGTTTCAATATAATTCAACGTGATATTAGAGCAGGCAGATATCTTGAATTTCAGAAATGAAAAGAACTTTCACAAAATTGGCTTCGCCCGTTAAAAATGAGCCAATCAAAAGCACTTGCCAACAGTACTATGATTTGGATTAGATTTACTTAGTGTAGCGTTGCCTACTCTAAGGAGCTTCTAGTTTAGTGCGAGTCTTTTGCAACTAACGAGTCGTTTGGTTGGAAACAAGTTATTTCAGAATTAATTATTCTGAGATTAGTTATCCAGATATTAGTTATCCCACCCTTTCATAGGGATAAAAGAAAAACACTACCATCCCCCCGGAATTAGTTATAATGCGATTTTATCCCAACCAAACATGGGATAAACTCATCTTAAATTTTATTCTGGGATTAGTTATCCCTTATACCTCGTACCAAACGAGCCCTATGAGTGTGACATCAATAAACCAGGTGAAAGACATAGAAAACCACATTTCAAACCACAACAGAGCCAACATGAGCGATAGGTGAATTTTTTTCCATTCGTCTAAGCATTTATGGGTAGATTTACTCGATATGTTGTGCTGGTGGGAAATAATAAGTGTATGGGTCGAAATATGACCACACGAGAATCGGTACAAAAAGGAACGGCGACGGGTCGATTAAGCCGTGGTTGTATCCATAAGGCACCATAACGACGAGCATCTCGGCCACAACCGAGGTTGAACCATCAGAAAGCCCGTATGGCGAAGTACACGCCAGATTGATTGCTCGAAAGAGCCGTACCTAGCTAAGGGAAGAAGCTATCTCTATTTTCCAAACATGACACTTAGGGAGGTCGACCTAAAGTGCGATTGGCAGATTAGGGTATCCTGGCTAAGGACCGTTGGGTAAAGGGGAATATCTATTGTATATATATATACTAGGTAAGAGAATGAGAAACATGGGGGGACTTTTCCTCCTTTCTTAACACAGAAGAACTGGAGAATCTTTCTCTATAAAACAAGAGAAGGTTTAGAACTTGGCTGCCAAGCTTTGTAATCATCATTATGGAATCAATAAAGACAGATCCCGTAGCCGTTAATGGTGCACCTTCTTTTTCTTCTTTATTTTACATTATGATGTAGTAGCATCAAGAATGTAAGCCCGTCATATACATTTGATATCTTTTATAATCTTAAATAGTTCATGAGCTTAACCGTATCCTATTTTTCCTACTTAATATTCTTTGATCTAGAGTTAATTATCCTTGGTTAGAATTTATCCCATATTTTCTTATTAATTCGTTTTAAGAAAAGGTTGAACACTTTTTTGGTAAAACAATTTGGCGCCGTCTATGGGAATTTTCTAGCCAAAGCCTTAGTCCCCTCTAGATCCAAACATGGTCTTAGCTCTATCTCCCATTCGGTGAAGTTTCACCTTTTCATTACGAATGTCGACTTGCGAAACCGGTCGGTAAACCCGCGAAACCGCCAAACCTACCAAGGGTAAATCCTTACGCGAAACCGGAGTTGTACCTGGTGTACACACGAAAGCTGCGCTTCACCACAGCAACAGCCCCGAGGCATTGTGAACATGAGCCGTCATAGGGGTTCTAATACTACGCGTACAAAATGCGTCCGTAATCCCATTCCCAGGTTAGTACCCAACGCCTCCTACATCCTGCGTATATCGCCTTCCCTCCTACTATATGAGATGATGCTTGTTGTGTAATTTACTGGCTAAGATAATCCTCGTCTGTATAGTTTTGGTATGACTTACATTTTTGCCATCTTTGCACACCCGAGACTGACAAAATGGGACTTGAACTCGAGACCCTAATAGGGGAAGTGGATCGTCCACCCACGAAATGCCAAATCTCAACCAGTGACGAGGCCGAGCATAAAGCCGAAGCCAACATCAAGCGGAAACTAGTATCAAAATACAGAATAAGGTGAGCCACCCTGCGGCGCGATCCCTAGTTCATTGCCAGACGAGGGAAACGTGGCCAATCCCCCTCTTTCATCAGCTAGACAGCCGACCAAGGTAACATATTATTCCATGTACTTCTAACCCGCTATTCCTTCTTAAAAAGAAAAAAGAGAGAAGTGGAACAGAGAATAGGGACGCCCTCCCAAATTCGCGAACAAAGGATAGCCGACATACATGCTCTAAATTCCTCCCTACGGCGAACGGCAAATCGGGAAAACCCTCCACACCGTACCATACTACACATAACAGACAAACGGCTCAAAGCAGGCCGACATCATTAAGAAACAATCTCCATAGCTTGGGACTGGGCGATGAGCCCATGGAACGTACAATATCTCCAATACGGGCAGAACATGAACACGGAAAGCTTGCCCGTATGCTCGCCATGGCGATGCTACGATAATTCGGCCGACTAAATACTACGATTCACGTCCGAACTTCATTCAAATCAATCGATCCCCAAGGTGCCCAGAAGCCCAAGCAATAAGTTCATCACCCGTCCCATCAACGATCTCTCCAGACCGAGCAATAAAGGGACTAGATAGACAGGGGCTCACCCCGACACATGCATAAACGATGCAGAACCAAGTAATATTCTCCAATAAAAACAAGGCAGCATGCAACATTCTTACCACATCGAGCCCACATATCGCCAAGCGAAAGTAAAATTCAACCTCGTTCGAATCAACAAGTTAAAGTTCGACCTCGCTCGAACTCATAACGGGTTACAACTCGACCTCTCTCGAATTTACACCCTAATGGCAACGGGCTATCGCCAAGAGAAAGTAAAATTCAACCTCGTTCGAATCAACAAGTTAAAGTTCAACCTCGCTCGAACTCATAACGGGTTACAACTCGACCTCGCTCGAATTTACTGGCTAACGGCCCCCGGCCATCGCCTAGAGAAAGTAAAATTCGACCTCTTTCAAATCAACAAGTTAAAGTTCGATCTCGCTCGAACTCATAACGGGTTATAACTCGACCTCGCTCGAATTTACACCCTAACGGCCCTCGGCCATCGCCAAAAATTCGACTTTCGTTCAAGCTAATAAAGTTCAACCTCGCTCAAACTAACAAAGTAAGGTTCGACCCCGCTGAACTAACAAAATGAGACTCGACCTCGCTCAAATCAGCAAGCTAAATTCGACCTCATACGAATTCCCAACTAAAAATTAGGTACTCATCACGGGAAAATCTAAAGATCTTTTTCAAAAATGAATGAGAAAGAGAGTCTGAGATATGCAACCAAAGGCAAACCAACTATCTTATTCAGATATATATACATACATGATATCGTCTTACAAAAGGCCGAAAGCGTGCCCCCGCAAAAAGAAAAACAAGCAACAACAAAAGAAACAAAAAAAAGAGCTAAGTACAAAAAGCTACAAAAACTTCACTCGGCCTCATCTCCACCACCGTCCTGGTCAGCATTGTCATCATCGGAAGAGAGCCTATCTTCAATCTCAGCACCCCCATCGGCCTCCGTTGTTGCAGGGTCATAACCGCAGGCAAGACGAGCCTCGCATGCCTTAATCCGAGCATCTTCAAAAGAGGCCTCAGGAATGCTCCCCGCCACCCACAAACCCTTACATATATATATCGTTGGGCCTCAGCATGGACCCATAGCTCGTACAAATGGCGGGGGACAACAATAGAGGCAGATCCTTGGGGGGGGCCTGAGCCAACAGCCGCGCCTTCTCGGCCTCGAGAGTCACAACTTAGTCTCCCAGGTTCGAGGCATCCCGTTCGAGCTCACCGATATGCTCCTCGAGCCTTGCCTCCCTTAGTGTGGTCGTCGCCCTCTCGGCTTCCCACTCAGACCTGAGGACGCGGACAGTGTCTTCCAGCGTCGCTGCCCTCCCCAAAGCCGCTCGGTCCCCTCGGCCCTCTCCAACTCGGCCACATTCCTTTCTAGCTTGGCCGCTTTCTCCGTCCACTCTGCACTTAGATCGGCAACTCTAGTGGCATTCTGCTCAACCTCAGTTCGCAAGGATAACACCTTCGCCTGAAGATCCTCGCATTCCACCGCAACCCCTTTGCCTACCTCGAGCTCCTCGTCTTTGGCCCTAAGCAGCTCATCAAGCTCGCTACATCTGCGAATAGACCGCATCAGATCCTCATCCTTCATCTCCAACTCCTCCTTGAGGGATTGAGTATTATTGCCCGCCCTAAGCTACGCGTGTATCTCACGACAACTGTTGCGATACCGGCGGTACTTCGCGACCATTTTCAAAAAGACATCGGCCCTCGTCTCAACCTGACGAGCACTCTCAATCTCCAACATGTAAGTATGAGGATAAAAGGAAGAATCAGCAAAAGTAAATGGCACAAAACAAAGAAAACAGCAAAAGGAAACTCACCCTCAAGGCCATCCAAGCCACGCCGTGCTACAAACTGGAATCACTGATCTCCCGAAGAGATCTGCTTTCAACGGCAGAGCACAGAAGGTCAAATTAGGGAACCAAGTCCACCATGTCCTCCAATAGGTTAAAATCTAACGGAATTTCGAGCACGCGGGAGGGTCCTTCCGCCCTCACATCGACCCTGGTAAAACCTTCCTTGAACATCCTCATGTCCTCAGGATCAATATCAGAATCAAATTCATATTCATCTGCCACTACGCCCTTCAACCTCTCAGTAGCTGAAGAGGGAGTGAGGCTTTTTGACACGTCGATGGACCGCTCAGAACAATCGCGGCGGCCTCCAAACACTGTTCCCCTGCCACGGCAGCTTCTTCCACACCCGAAACGGGTATCGCCTCCACGCCTAGGTTGGCATCACCGCCGACTTCAGACACCGCCGAAACAAGGTCGCCGCTCGAGGGCGTTTCAGTCAAAGACACCCCCTCTGACATTAACCTCCGCCTTTAGGACGGGGCCTCTTCGCCACCAGCATGAGAAGGTTTGTCCACCAAATGGACTGTGGCTACCGGAGTGTCCGACCGAAGAGCAACCTCCG